TCGAGCATGCGTTGTGGCACTCTTGAGGCTCTCAATTATGGGCTGCGCGAGGCCCACGATTGTTGGAGGTCAGTGGCCTCAGAAGCGACCATGGGCGGCAGATTACCTCACGTCGCCAATTTGCTTGCTGTGCCCTGGTAACACAATAAGACGGCGCGCTGGTGCACCGGATTTGTTATGGTTCCAGGCTAAAGGTCACTCCTCTCCTTGCCACCGCTGAAGCAGCTGCCTCAGGAGATTCTCCTGTTTTGCTGGTTGCGGAGAGGTGTCTCGTGCCCTCCCCTGCGCCCACAAGGGCCCTCCCCCTGGGCCCCCTGTCAGCGGGGGGTACGAAGACCCGCGGATTTCGCAGCTGGCATCTCTCCTAACGGCTCGGTGTTTGAAGCTCAGCATGCCACCTCCTCCAATGCAGGCTGGGGGTGCGTCGCCCTTCATCCCGACAGGAATCAAGTGATCGCGAGTGTGTCGGGTCCCGGCTTGGACCCTCTGCAGTGCACCAATGCAGCAGAGCTGCTGCCGTCATTCATACTCTGCGCTTCGCGCTACCACCAGTTCGCGTGCACGCTGATTCTTTGTAGGTGCACGATGGCTTCCACGAGCGAGGCCAAGAGAATGCCACCTCCTGCGTCTCCTCTCACGCTCATCTGTAGAGGCTAAGGCGTTGACTTGTGTAAGGTAAAGGCCATGCTGCACAGGTGGACATCGACCTCGGATGGATCACTCAACGGCACCGTTTCGGTATTATGCAGGCTGATGAAGTGGCCCGCAATGCAGCTGAGTTGTCGCGTTTGGATGTTCGCTCTCGGCAGCAGCTCAAGCCCAAGAGCAAAGCGCTTACTAGCTGAGAGAGTGAGGTGTAGCGGCTCGGGGAGGGGTTGGAAGACGTTGGCCTTCCTGCCAATCATCTTCGAGGTAAGGCCTCCGTTCCTCAGCTTGTGTTGGTTGAAGAACCTGCGCCTTCCGACATTGCCAGTCGTGTGTTGGAGGACCAGGGGAAGCTCTGTGCGGGTTCCAAGCTGCATGCCGTTGTCAGGCTCCAGCTGCATCATGGTCCGCTCGTGGTGGGATGCACACGCTGTGCAGGCTTCGCGTCTGCGCGGGTCTCTAATTTGGCTGCCCCCTGTCCCCCTTCAGGTTTCGGACTGGGCGACCAAGTGCCTCAAGAGACTCGCTAAAAATGAATTCAAACTGCGGGCGAAGGTGTACCGAGTGGCCGATCTGTCTAGACTACAGGTCCAGCGCAACGCCCCAAAGTGGCTCTGGTATGGTTGAATCAGTCCTGCTGCAGGTTGCGCCCAGGAGACGGTAGCTCAGGGTGTTCGTCTGGCGGCCTGCGTTACTGCTCTGCTTTCCCCCGACCCACTTGCCTTGCTCCTTGTGTTTGGATATGCGACGAACTCGAACGTCTTCAGTTTCCGATCGACCGAGGAGGAAGAGGAGGAGGAAGAGAAGGGGGAGATGGGGGAAGAGGAGGAGGTGAACGATCGTGACCCGTCTACTTGTGGGCACCGCAAAACATGCGTTCAATACCTACCAGTGGGCCTTCAAGTAGGGGCTGGGGGGCCCTGGCGCAGGGGCGTCTCCACGCCTCTTGGCGATGCCTCTCCATACTTTGAATTCGCAGGCTGAGTGGAGTAGCGAGAGGCGGAGGTAGAGGGAGAGGAAAAGCGTCATGAGTGGCGAGCAGATCCATATCCACACCCTCGCGGTCTAGACCTAGGTCTGGCAATAGCGACTACGGGCGGTCCAGCGCCATATCGCGCGAAGAAACTCAAATTCTACAAAACAGTAACAACATCTAAGCCAACACCAGCGAACATCTCAAGCCGCCATAAAACAAACTGCAAAACCATCTAAACCCGAACCTGCGAAAATCTCAAACCCAACAACAAAAACTCGAAAGCATCTCTAAGCCGAAACCTGGGAACAACTCCCCCCAAAAAAGAAATGATACCGAAACTCTAAAACAACGTTTGACACAATCTAGACAACTCGAAACGCATGCAACCTCTAAAACAAACTCTAAAGCACTCTAAGAGCCTGAAAACGTTAAACAAAAAAGTCTGAAACACTCGCTTTAACACTCTAAGGAATCCAAACAAATCTCCGGCCGCCTGTCAAACTCTAAGAGAACAATAACTATAACACATTTACAACTGCAAGCCCTGGCGGCCTCGAAAACGTAAACAACAAACACTTAGAGACATAGATGTAAACTTCTGGCCTTGTTTTGTTTGTTTTCAAGCGCGCATATGTTTTTGTTATACCTCCCTGCTTCCAGTGTTCTGGAGTTTCGATTTCAAGTGTTTGGGTGGTTTGAGATGTTCCAGGGTTTTGGCTTAGAGATGGCTTAATGTGTTCGGGGGGCTTGAGATGTTCCCAAGTTGTGGTTTAGAATGTTGTTTCATGCTTTTGTTGGGGTTTGAGATTCCTGTTGAACATTGTCCTAAGATTTTGGCCGGTTTTCTCGGTGGACCTCCTGTAGTGCAATTGCCGAACCTACATTCCAGGGCGCGACCCCGTGGATACGCGGTCGCATGGATACGTTCCGCGCGGGGCATTCGCGATAAAACTCTCCGTATCCATGGGATCGCGGCCCAGGGGCCCAGACCGCGAGGCCGTGGATATGGATGTGTTTCCCTCCCACGAGAGCGGGCGCGCCTCGGAAGATGCCAGGCTAGGAGGCCCCGAAGCGCGCGAGAGACGCAGCAGCACTCCCAGGACCGCAGCCATGTCTGGCAGCTGCTCGCGCACGGCTGCTCTTCTCCTCGTCCTCCTCCTCCTCCTCCTCCTGCTCCTCCTCCTCCTCCTCCTCCTCCTCCTCCTCCTCCTCCTCCTCCCTCTCTCCCTCCCTCCCTCCCTCCCTCCCTCCCTCGCTTCCTTCTCCTCCTCCTCCTCCTCGCCCTCCTCCCCCTCATGCCCCTCCCTCCTCGCCATGCTACCCCCTTCAAAGGAGGGGAGGGGGAGGGGGAGGAGGAGGGAGAGTCCGTCTATTCGCGCCTTGGGCTGGTCGATTGTACGAGACACCCACCTCTTCGCAGCGCACCGATCGGAATCCACGATACCGCCGGAGGCCCAAATTGTGGTGATACGGCGAGCGCGGGAATGGCAAACGGAAGCGGGCTCCACACTCGAGGGCACGCCTCACTCTGAACAGAGTCGCGCAAGAGTGAAAGAGGGGAGGGGAGTGGAGAGAGGGGAGTAGGCAGAGAGGGAGGGGAGTTTGTTGGACACGACCGCGGCGCTACGTGCCGAAAGCGCACAAGCCCACGACATCGTCCCACGTGGGGCCCTGGGCACCACTTTGCGTGCCCAGGGTCCCCCACGGAGGGAAGAGAGACAACCGAAACGGAACCCGGAAATCGGAGCCGCCGCAGCAGTCGGGACTGCCGAGGCCGAGAGAGGGAACGTGGGGGGAAGGGAAGGGAAGAGGGGAAGTCAGGGGAAGGGGTGCATGCTACTGTCAACGATGACTGGCACTCTTATTCAGTATGTATATCTGTGATCTTCATGGAAAGACCGGTGTCGTCCTTCGAAGCTGGGGCACCTGCCTCAGACAACGCACCCGATGTGTTAAACACTCTTACAACTTCTGGCTGTCCTTGAGAGCCGACCTGACGTGAGGCGGCCGGTGCAACAGCATCCTGGGCGCAGGAGAGACAGACGAGAGGGGGAGGAGCGGCGGGGGGTAGCGGGGCAGGGGGGAGGGGGGACAGAGGAGGGCCGAGAGGGAGGCGAGGGGTGGGCGAGGGACGGGGGCGGAGAGGAGCGGCGGGGAGGGCGGCAGTGAGGGAAGCCGGGCAGGAGGAGGGGCAGGGCGGGAGGGGGGGGGAGGGAGGCGACGGGAGAAGGAGGGCGGGGGGAGGGTCAGAGCCCGTGGCGCCCCGCAGCGGGACGCCGATCGGGGAGGGAAGGGGCGGGCGAAGGAGCAGGAGGGAGGCACGGGGAGAGGGAGGAGGGAGGCAGGAGGAGGGAGCACGGGAGGGAGGAAGATGGGAAGGAGGACAAGTCGGAGGAAGGAGCGGAGGGTGATAGGCAGAGGCGGGAGGAGGAGAATGGATGGAGGTGGCAGAGCAGGAGTGGAAGGACGAAGAGGATGGGCAACGTGCTCCGAGAGATCGAGGTTCTCGAACTCTGGGCAGGTCGGTGCCACTCTCAACCTCTCGACTGTTCCTCATGCCAGCATACCTTCCTTCCTCCGTGCTCTGTTCATCCTCCACCTCGTTATCCTCCATAACGTCAATCTTATTCGTCTACGTCTTCTCCTGCTCCTCCTGACCCTCACCCTCACCCTCACACACATCCTCCTCCTCCTCCTCCTCCTCCTCCTCCTCCTCCTCCTCCTCCTCCTCCTCCTCCTCCTCCTCCTCCTCCTCCTCCTCCTCCTCCTCCTCCTCCTCCTCCTCCCTCCTCCTCCTCCTCCTCCTCCTCCTCCTCCTCCTCCTCCTCCTCCTCCTCCTCCTCCTCCCTCCTCCTCCTCCTCCTCCTCCTCCTGCTCCTCCTCCTCCTCCTCCTCCTCCTCCTCCTCCTCCTCCTCCTGCTCCTCCTCTTGCTCCTCCTCCTCCCTCCTCCTCCTCCCTCCTCCTCCTCCTCCTCCTCCTCCTCCTCCTCCTCCTCCTCCCTCCTCCTCCTCCTCCTCCCTCTCTCCTTCTCCTTCTCCCCCTCCTCCTCCTCCTCCTTCTCACCTCTCCTCCTCCTCCTCCTCCTCCTCCTCCTTCTCACTCCTCCCTCTCCTTCTCCTCCTCCTTCTCATCCTCCTCCCCATCCTCCTTCTCCTTCTCTTCCTCACTCACCCACCTCCTCCTCGTCCTCCTCCTCCTGCCCCTCCTCCTCCTCCTCCTCCTCCACAGAGTTTGGCTTCGAGCGGTGGCGCGTTGCTACATGCGACTTCCCCATTCATCCACGCCCTTCCCCTCCAGAATGGCGAAAGGCAATCGCACCGAAAACGAAATCCAATATCGATGGTGCAGAGAGAAAGCGGATCAGCCCGGCCTTGTCCA